CTGTTTCGAAAGAGTTACTCCACGTTCGCGCATTAATTTCCTCGGAAATTAAGCAAGGCAAATATTCATTCTCTTACCCCTCGGGAGAACATTACGTCTTCTTCCAATTTTTTTACTCGAAGGAGGGACATAATTCGGTTTTAATAAAGTTTCTAAATGTGAGACTTAATACCGTGAAATGGTCGTTCATAAAACGTCATATCTCTACATTTACCAATGGAACTTGTAAAATCAACAATATGGCTCAATTCCACTGCCAAATCTTATGAACCCCATATGGTCTCCTTTTAATAACGTAGAAAAATATATGGATTTCTGTACGCAGACAATATACGGCTTGTAGTTTGGAAACCCTGAATGAAAGTGTAACGGTAGAGCGGGTTCAAAATTATTCTGGAATTGGAAAAGTTTTTGAAAACCAATTTACACCCTTTCTTCAAGCATATTGTTTTAAGAAAGCGTGATTTTCCGCCAAATGGGCATAATAATGAACATTTTTATACATGTTATCCATAAAATATAATTGCGTTTTAAAGGGCATCGAAAATTAACCAGGAAAATGCCAGCTCCTTAAGTAGCCACTTTTTACGGAGTATAGTTTTCGCATGCAGCCGAAAAAGAAGTTCGTTCGAAAGCTGACATCCCGAGATAACTGAATTCTTATATAATTATGCTGCACGGTGATTAGTTGTACAGCCCTAGGAAAGCACCACTGTGGAGGTGGTGGAAGTTGGAGCGAGGTAAACGGCGAAAAGAGACTTAGAGAGCGGCGTCAGATTCTCCAGCTGATGTACCTAACGTTCCATCTGTCGTTGACCGTGTCTCAGTCATACACGTCGTACAGGTAGAAGGTTGCGCGTTCGAATCACGTCGTCGGGGACACCAATGGATATGAGGCCGGGCAAGAGGCGCTTTAGATGAAGCTGGAGGTTTGGTCGTGCGTTAGCTGCATGCCTAAAGGTTAATATGGTTGTCGTGACTGTGGGTTGGCAGACCGATGCTAGAAAATGAGGCGTTTCAGCGGCTGAATGCTCGCTTGTTGTTCGACACCTGTTGTAGGCTGTTTGCAAAGTGTCAGTTAGTTCTTTCTTTGAAACCGGTGTAACTCCGTCCTGCTCTTGGGACGGTGATCGACTTTAATCGCACCCAATATGTTCGTCGCGTCTGATGCCAGAAGTCAGAGAACGGTGAGGGTTAGTACAATTCTGTACACACTGCAGATTGCCGTGACTTGGCAGTTTGCTTGTGAGTCAGAACACGACGTCCGTTCGGGAGAGCGTGGGTTTTAGCATTTTTGCCGATAATGTCCGCCGTACGCTCCACAGCGAGGCAAGAGCAGGAATGGTGACATGCGCGAGAATCTGTTTACAGTAAGACTAGACTTGCGCAGCATCTACAGCACTCTCCCCTTCTCCCCCACCCGGACCCGGTGCCAAGACCTACTGCAGGTGGACTAACTTATGCAATGTCGATGGAAATTCCTAAATGTGTTTTCGTCTCGAAAAAAGTAATTAAGTAGGGTTGTAAAACTAATCATCGTGCAGCATAATTCAATAACAATTCACCTAAGTCGGGATGCTGGCTTTCGAACGAACTTGCTCCCGGCTGTATACAAAGACTATACTCTGTAAAATATGAGTTCTTATGTAGCATGTATTTTTCAAATTGATTTTTGATGCTCCAAAAAGTCCAATTACATTTCATGGAAAACGTGAATAAAAAATATGCATTCTTTTGCTCATTTGGTAGCGAATTGCGTCTCATTCCAATTTTGTACTCAACGGAAGTGTATCATTTGGTTTTCAAAAACCTTTTCTAATTCCCGAATAATTTTGAACCCGACCTGCCGTCACACTTGCATTCAGGGTTTCCAATCTACAAGCCATGTATTTTCCGCGTACGGAAAACCATACATTTCTATATGGTATTAAGAGGAGGCTATTTGGGGTTCATAAAATTTGGCAGTGAATTTGAGCCATATTGTTAGCATTACAAGCGACCTTGGTAACTGCAAAGACATGACGTTTTATGAACGGCCATTTCACGGTATTTCAAAGTCTCACAATTAGAAACTTTTTAAAACCGAATTATATCCCCCTTTAGAGTATAAAGTTGGAAGAAGACGTAATTTTATACCGAATGAGCAAGAGGATGAATATTTTTATGCATTTTTTCCATGAAATGTAATTGGACTATTAGGGGCACCGAAAATCAGTGAGAAAATTCATGCTGTCTAAGTAGACATTTTTTGCAGAGTGTGGTTTTTGCATGCAGCCGAAAGAAGTTTGCTCGAAAGCCGGCATCCTGGGGTAACTGAAATATTATAGAATTAAGCTGCATGATAATTAGTTTTACAACCCTGCTTAATCAATCTTTTCGAGACGGAAACGCATTTCGGAATTTCTGTTGACGTTTCATGGGTTAGTCCACTTACAGTGCGTGAGCTA